GAGGGGTGTCGGTGGGGACCTTGTAGATGGCTTTCCATAGAGTGTCTGCTCCCATGTCCCATGATATCCATGGGGACAGATTTGGAAAAGTGTCTGCTTTTTTCCCAAAACACGCAGTAGGTGCACGTGCTTCATAGATCGGGAAATGCTGCACAATTATGAAGAATTAGTGGGCAAAAATCAGTCTGATAGATCTGCTGGGGCTCCTGGATGGTCCCGTGAGCATCTGTTCCTTCTAGCCAAGGGGCGGTGGGAATTGCCAGGACTGCTGTGGCTGGTGCGGCTTGTCCCCACCCTCATCCTGACTGAGGCGGCTGTAGAGTGTCTAGAGGCTGGAACCTCTCCTGGAGGGGGTGTTGGGGCGGAGGCTGCCGCTGAGCCCCCGTGTCTGGTGGGAGGAGCTGGGAGGAGTGTGAAACTCTTGGCAGGGAGAGAACAGTTATTTCACTCTGGATTTTAAAACTGCAAGGAAAGAGAATGTTCACCCCATCAGAGCTGGAAGCTATCTTTGAGGTCATCTGTTCTGCCCTCTTATTATACCGCTGAGGACCTTGGGGCCCAGAGGGGTCCCCCCAGAGACACGGTGGCAGCCGCAAGCTGAGTTTGGAGGTCCCTGACTCCACAAAATCACGTGGGCGGGCACAAGAGCTCTCAGACCCGCCGACTTCTCCCCGCCACCCAGCACGTCTCTGCATCGAAGCTTTCAGTGGCTTCTCATTCTCCGAAGGGCACCACTGACCCAGCCCCTGAACGCGGCGCCCAGGCCACCTGTTCAGTCCCATCTCTCTCCCCCGCTGCCCATATTTCCCTCCCTCCCCCCTGCGCTTCACCCCGGCCGCAAGGCCCGGAAGCACAAGACAATTCTCCATTCCCACCCGCCGCCAGATCTCCTGTACCTCCGGACACCCCCACTCTGCTCGCTTCCGGCTCGGCTTCCACTGTCTGCAGCAGCCTCTCCCAGAGCTCAGGCCTGGGGCCGGGGTCCTGTGTTTCGTCGCTCCCAGTGTATAGTCGTCCGTTTACCAGTCCTCACTTCCCACTGGACCAGAGGGGGCAGACGGGGTCTGGCACACACCAGGTGCTTAGTCATATTTATTGACTGTAACAGGGTCTACAAATATTTCTTATAGGCTCCAAGCAGAAGATCTTAGTCTCCTTGTTCCCTCAGGCTCTATCCCATGCCCCTTGTCCCAAACTCTTTCCGTGTCTGCTGGCGTTTGGGTTCCTTTATCCCACGGCCTCGGGGGGCCCGGGGTCCCCATGGGCTGTGAACACGTGGGTGAGGCTCTGAGCACGGCAGGTTCGTGCCTCCTACTCAGGTACCTGGGCCACCCACACTGTGCATTGCTGGTCCCCAAGGACTGATTTCTGCCCGGCGTGGAGACGGTGCACCCCCTGCCACAGTCGTGTTGGCACTGCATGCTCCGAGTCACGCTTTATGATTTCAGGGCCATCCTGCCCAGCGTCCTCCCTCGCCGACAAGTGAGCACTGCTCTCGGGGGCATCTTCACCGTGGACTTGCCTTTTTATTGCCTTGGAAATGCATGGACATTAATTTTTATGCTTTAAATCCAAAATGGACAATGAAATTAGAGGAGTGTGTTAGCGCCGATCCCCAGGGCTGCCTGCGGAGAGAGTCCCAGTCCTTCGGAGTCCTTGGGGAAGTTTCTGAGGTGGCCCCGCCCTCCCCGAGCAGAGCTTTCTGTGGCTTTCAGAGAGGGCTGCGTGGGAGGGAGGGCCGATGCCCAAGGTCAAGGATCGACAACATCCCTCTGCACGGAAAGCTGGGCCTGAAGAAGCCAGGAAAGATGTCGGAGGGGAGCCGGCAGAGCAAGTCCGTCCGCTCAGGTCAGCCCCAAACAAGCTCCATCTGCAAACGCATCCAAGAGCGGCCGGTTCAAGGTGACTAGGGACACATGCCTGAGTTCATCACCCACATGACACCCTCTTTCACACTGGACAGTGAGTGGAGACCAGCTGCCACTTATCAGATGCCCACTGTGAGCTGTGAATGACAGCTGTCACCTCGCCACAGCCCAGGGAGGGTGGCAGAGGTAAACATCTCTAATTTCTGCATAAGGAAATCGAGGCCCAGCGAGGTCAATGACTTGTCCGAGCGCACAGCCAGCAATGGCAGAGGCAGGTTTCGAAGCCAGACAACAGCCTGCTGCAAAGTCCAGGCTCCCTCAGCTGTTGCCCTGCCTCTGTGGGGGACACCCAGGGACCCAGGCCCCAGGGAGGGGCTGCCCCGCACAGCTAGGTGCGGAGGGCAGGAGCAAGGGAATGAGAGAAGCATCTGGACCCAGCAGGCTGTGGCCCGTGAGCCTTTGCATCTGACTCCCACCATCCTGGCCTACTGTGCGGCCAGGGGCAAAACACTTGTGCAGGACTAGGAGGCAGGTTGTCTGTGCGCCAGCCGCCGGGACGTGGGCAATCCAGTGGCAAAGGCTCTAAAGATCCCACACCAGCAAATCACAACCTTGCAATTAAAACAAGCTACAAGGAAGTGAAGTGTGACGATGTCCTGTGACTTCTGCTGCGCTTATGATGGGGAGCAAATCAGCCAGAAAACTCTGCGTCTCCCTGAAACACCTACTCAGGTAAGCACCTCAGGCTGACCCCGGGGATGCCCGGCTGGACCGCAGGCTCCTGACCTTGGCCTGAAGGCGCTTCCGTTCTGGGCACAGAAAGCACCTTTGTCAGGGGTCGGCTCCCCTTCCACACTGGGGACAGTCCCCAGCATGGCTGGTTTGTTCTCATTCCTGAGGTGGGGTGATCTCACTCATCCCTGGGGGGCCCTCCTGGGACTTGGAAATGAGAAGGAAGTCAGCATCACAACATGTTTGGGCTGGCACAAGGCTTCTTTTCTGCCACATCGGCTCACTATAATAGAAGAATAAATAAATCGCTGTAAATAATATTTGTGAGTGAGAAGCCAATGAGGCCACAAAGTAAGCGTCCAAAGGGAAGATCCATGTGGTTCTGTTAGCCGTTGTCTGACGCGGCCTCTGAGTAGGCAGGTCCTTCGCACCGGCCGCCATCCTTAGAATAATGTTGACAGGGATACCTGGGCGATGCGGCACCTGGGATACCTGCCTCTCAGGTGTGGGGCTGGACAGATCTGCCTGTGCCGTCGGCTCGCAGGTGAGGGGGCTGCTGCTCTTTGGGAGGGAGAACGTCTTCTGCAAGGAGGTGAGGCCAGCCTCAGAGACAGTCTCTCAAGTCTCTTCCCACCTGCCCCGTGAAACACGAGGTCTCTGAGACACACCCTCCACTTAGGGGGCGTGAAAAGGAGGACAGGTGTAAGCATGGAGAAGAGCTGAGAACTGGCCCAGCTGGGATCCTGAGAGGCTGCCTGGGAGAGGCTGCCCGCCGTGCGTGAGCCTTGGACGCCCCCACTCCCATCCAGCCACCCCTCTCCGAGCGGGCCGGGTGGCATTTAATCACAAACACTCATGAAAACCAGCTCCTACTATTGAGCCCATGATACAAAGTTGTGCCAGCGGCTGGCGAGGGAGGCCATCAGTGAACAAAGTCATAATCGCTGATCACTGCTCCCCAGGCACTCAGCACGCTGGTGCTCCTGGTGCTGCCGCCCACTGCCCGGGGCATGGGCGAGGCAGGCGCATCCCACTTACCTCGTCCAGCCTGAGGCCCTCGTCCCACACTTCACCTCCATCGTCATTGCCACTGCCCCTTCCCGCCCACCTGACTCCACTCTGCTATTAAAGTCACGCTTCCACCTGACATTTTCTTTTTAATTTTTAATCAGTCTGTGTCAAGAAAAAAAAAAAACAAACAGGATTTGATGACACCGCCAGCTCTCACGGCTCTATCAGCATAGCGACTTTATGGATCGGAGTTTTGTTTCTATTTGTCTAAAACCCAGAGGAGGAAAGGAATCAACTCCACAGACGAACATGTATTTGAAGAGACACTTCGGGACGCGGGGACATTTTTTTTTTTTTTTAAGCAATCGTTTTCTTAGGAACAACACCCAGGGGACCTTGGAGACCGCGCCGTCGGAATCCGATGCAGGATCCGTGAGCAGGGGAAGCGCCCAGGGCCCCGGAGGCGAGGGCAGAGCTAGCTGTCTTTGGGCTGGGAGGCCAGGCTGCAGACTTCACAGGAAAAAAGAAGGGGAACAAAAATAAATCCAACCTCATACTTTATTTGGAGGAGGAATGTGTTTACAGAAACAATTTCTGTTTCGGAAAATAAAATATGACTGAGGGCAACAACCATGGTGAACGGGAGAGGGCTCATGACTCCGAGATAAATCGTCACGTGGACTCTTTTCAAAAGGCCAAAACGAAACGTTGCCTTGGTCACTTTCTCCGCCATGAGATGTATTTGAACACATCCCGACCGATCTGCAAAGTCGCAAGATTGATCCAATGCCGCGGATCCAGGCGCGAGACCAGGGACACAAAACCAATGCTATTTCACCGAAGGTCGGCGTGGAGTACGTGACTTCTACTTTTTGAAGAAACTTCCAAAAAGCAGAGTCTGCCTGAGTCTTTCCTCTCCTTTCTCGCTGGAACGACCACCTCCCGCCTTGGTCTTGCTCTGGGCAGAATTACCGGATGGAGGAAGACGGTCCAGAAGTCCCACGGGAGCCTTCTCTGTGGGAGCCTCCAGGGGGCGCTCTGCAGCTCCGCTCAGACTAGGCAGAGGCTGAGCGGTCCTAATTTGGCGTCCGGAGACAGTTCCAAGCAGATTTTAGAAGCGAATTTACATAATGTGACATGCTTTCAGAGGAGGCAGCTAGCACTCATGACATAAGTCAATGGGACGCGGCATTCGGTGGCACGTGCGTGGAACTGTCTCACGTTCCCCGACACGAGACAATTTACATAATGTGACATGCTTTCAGAGGAGGCAGGTAGCACTCATGACATAAGTCAATGGGATGCGGCATTCGGTGGCATTCGGTGGCATGTGCGTGGAACTGTCTCACGTTCCCCGACACGAGATACACCTGACACCTTCGCCCAGAACCACGTAGGGGGAGGGATCCCCTCATCCCTTTGTTTCCCATTGGTCTCGGCAAATCCTCGGGTCCCATTTAAAAGCGCTGCACCGCGGTTTGTCCGTATCTGTCACCCACCGTTGAGTCCGTGATGTATGATGTGAGTCACTGTCCCCATGTAGACAAATTGGAACACTTCCCCGTCCCCCTCGCTCTGTCTTTCTGTGGCCTCGCTCCAAGGTACATGGTTCCCGTTCCCAGAGGGGCAGTAGAATCAGGAGGACCCGGCCTGGCTACGCGTCTTCTTCCATGAGAGGAATCTCTGTAAAAGAGGAAACGGCTATTATTTAATACACCGAAAGGCACGGCAATGGTCCATAATTACGAGTCAGAGTTCCTATAACTCCTGAAATCAGTGAGGTGAAGAAGAAAACGTTACGTTCCACACATCAGTCAATAGTCAGATAAGCCACCTCCTCCATACAACATCTATTCGCTGGGAAACCTCAGACCCAGCTCATGAAAACGAACACGTTCGGTTTTAACCATGTGCCCCGGAGGTCGCACACACCAGGAGGTTACAGATCCAGGGCAGAGAGGAGGCAGGGGACTGCAGGAAAGGAACTCAGTGGGGAACCAGGGGGCCCCGTTTCCACATCGTTACTGCTACTTACTGTCGCTACATGCAGGAATCGGTATCTTATGCGTAAACTGGGAAACAGAACCCTATTTAGCCTGATGCGTTTACTATGAGCTGCTGTCTGCCTTTCCTGTGACAGGCGCATGCACGTCTTTTACTCCACACCTGGTAAAAATAACCTGCGTGTACGCAGAACTTCCCCCGGGGCCAGGCCCTACTGCAAGCATCTGCGTCTTTCCTCCTGGCACGCATGCGTGTTACCTGGTCCTAGGTGCCACCTTCAGAAGCCCCGTCTAGCTACAGGATGAAGAAGAAAAGCATCCCAGATCATAAGGATGCTACGGAAACCGAGGGCCTGCTCTGGATGGCTCGGCGCCCTTTCGTGCCCCCTGAAATTTCAGTTAATGGGCTCATCACTTGTGAGATGATGATCATTCCTTCCGCTAATTGGTCTTGCCCGTGGCTTCTACGTGCAGAGAGAGCAAGAAGCAATTTAAGCTGAGTGAGAGAGAAACAGACTGATTTGGCTCTGTGCTGGCTGGAAGATGCTCAGTGCTGGGTGTGGAGGTGTATGCCGGGGTGCTCAGGCCTCGGGCGCACACTTACCGTCCGCGATATCGATGCCTGGGCTGGTGGATGCCACCTCCCCCGCCGTGCTGGCCGCTGTGTCAGGGTTGTCGGACGCGGGGCGGGTGTCCCCTTGGCACACGGGAGATGAATATAGGCTCTGAAGCAGCTCGGAAGACCCCGAGACACTGTCACAGGTTTCTGAATCCCCCGGGCCCGTGTCTGTATCCCCTGAGCCGGGGTATGCTGGGGGGCTCTGGTCATCCACGGGTAAAGGGCAGCCCTGGCCCACAGAAGCCAGGTATCCGGGGCCTAAGGCACTCAGGCCGCCACTCACAGCCTCGTCGTAGGACGGGAGCATGACGGGCACGCCGTCCACCACCACGAAGTCAGGGTCGCTGCTGGAGCTCCTGGGAGGCCCCCTGCACAAAGGAAAACAGTGCCAACGTGTCGGAAGGACGTGCTACCCCAGGAGTGAAGCCACCGGTGACCCCGCTGCAGCTGAGGTGCTCCGAGACCACGGCAGGGGCAGGGGCCCGACAAAGCCGCCTCCCTTCCGGTTCTCCCCGAAGGATGGTGCTGTCACCATGGCCACTTGGGGGAGCACAGATTCCCTCTCCTCACTGACTCGTGCCCTCCTGCCTCTCCCTTCCTGTCCCTCCCTGTTGCTTCTGTTATTGTACTTCCTCCCTCTTCGACCGCTGGACTTAGCCTTACGGTCATAACCTCGTGGGCAGGGACCATGTGGCCCATGCCAGCCAAGCATCAGTGTGCCTCTGCGGTGTCCCTCGGGAAGGCAGCTGGAAACAGAATCATGTCATTAAGAGCATAGAAAACTGGGGACGACCCTACTGCCCCCAGAGAAAGGCTAGCCCTTGCATTTCTTATGCTTTCTTGCTTCCTGCTATAGTATAAAAATCACTAACTTTTCATCAAGAGAGAAAAACAACAACAGGAAAATAAAAAGAAAGAAAGGAAAGCTCTAAGCACCACCTCGCTACCTGATTCAAGCTATGCCAGGCTCACCTCCACCTGCAGACCTAGCAGCTGACTGAGCCTAAGCTACACCCACACTGCCTGGAGCGAGGGCTGCTGGGAGCAGGCAGATGTTTTGTCATCTCGGCCGGTTACGGGGCCCCGCCCCTTTGCATCTGGTCATCTTGCACATTTGAGCCCAGCTCTGTCTGACCTCCAGCCTCTGCCCCATCCTCTCAAAGTAACTGGCGTGGCTGATAAGTGGCCAGCCTCTCCTCTACATCCCAACCTTGACACTCGGCTCCCACAGACTCAGTCATCAAGCAACTCTTCAGTGTCTACGCCCGTGGAAGGAAGCTGGAGGGAAAAAAAAAAAAACCCATTCTGAGCTTGCCCTGGAGACTCTTACTGTCCCTGTGGATAGATGAGCCCAACTTTCCTGAACCAACCAGAGCATAAACTCAGACGGAAATACTTGAGCGATAAAAAAAAAAAAAAAAAAGCAAAAGGGTTTGGGGAAACACTTAAAAAACATTTTAATATTTAGTCGATATAACTTTTCTTCCAAGTATATGTAGAAAAATAGCTCTGTGGGCTATTTGAACGGACTCCAATGTGTTATAAATCACAATATGTAGTTTAGCTTTCTCTTTGTAATCCTTAGGCCTGCTTTAGATCGTGTGATTGCTCCATGATAGAACCTGGTCCCTTGATGCATAAGTCATAATGCTGAGGACTGAGAGAGGGGAGGGCAGGTCTGGGAGGAAAGGAGCTTGGTCCTAGCACCAGGATGGCAGTGACATACTCTGGGCCTGGCGAGGGACGCAGGCAGCCCCCAAACCTAGCACACTTCTGTGGCCGGCAGAGGGGGCTGCCCATGGGGCTGTGGGGCCCCTGCACTGGGTGGGGGAGCATTGCTAAATGAGCCGAGGCCACCCCAGGGGCGTGAAGTCAAGGTGGGGGGCGGGGGGGGGCAGTGCTGTCTCCAGCAGCTCAGGCTTCCCTCATTCCCTGCCTGGCTGGGAGGCTGGACTTTTCCTGGAGGAGAGGGAGGGTCGTGGTTCATTCCAGGAGTCCTTCTCCGCTCCGCAGCATTCTCTTTTCCAGGGGGTGGCAGGCACGACCCTGAGGGCTAGACTGTCCCTGGTCCTTTCCTGACGCGTAACGTCCCAAAAGGAGACGATTGACATGGGCCCGGAGTTCAAGGGAATAACGATCGTTCCTTGGTGGCAGGTGGCTGTGTCTGTGAGCTTTGGCTGGTGTCCTGTGACGTCTGGTGCCGGGCCCTCCTTCTCCAAATGTCCGCAAACCCACCCCCTTGCTTTCTGAGCGAATTCTCCTTCCAGAACACCGATCTGCCGGGCAGCAGGGCCAGGTGGCGCTTCTTTGTTCTGGAGGGCGGTGTGGGGAGTTGGGGAGCACAGGCTGCTCCCGGCACTCAGAGGGCCAGACCCGCCTGTGAGAGCGTGCAGCAATGTCCTCTTTGAGGAGGGTGGCCAGGAGGAGGACGACATCAATCCAAGCTCATTCGTGTGGCCGAGGACGAGGGGGGGGCCGCCCTCTCCGGCCCCACTCTGAGGCAGAGTCTCACCAGCCCTGTGCTGAGCCCCCGCAGAGTCCCCCCTCCTTCCCGAGACTTCCCACGGCTGTCGGGCCTCACACCTGGGACCTCATCTCCTAATTCCTTCCG